CTGCCAATGGGTTGAGCTAGCCTGGTTAATCGGTTTCTTTAGCAGAATAGTGCAGCCTGATGGGAGTTCTGCCATGGGAGCTGAATTAAGCATAATGTCACTTTTCAAACCAAGTTCCCAGGCTTTGAGCAGCTTCCTGTTAAATCATCAGGCTTCATAGCTCATGAACACTTCACTGCCCTGCATGTCTCAATCTGTTATATCAATACATACTTGCAAAGTTAAGGGAAAGTATACATTTACTCCCTTAAGAAAAGGCCTTACACAGTTATAATTCACAGAGATATTACTATATCATACTACATACCATTCATATAAGAAACATACTGTCTAATTCTTTTTAGCATTAATTATTAGATTTTTCTGAACTCATCTAACACAAAAGGTCAAAAAAGGTAACATACCGGTCCAATTCTTAAGCAAAAGAGGCTTATGCATTATCCATCAGTCCTCCCAGCACAGCTGAAATACTGGCCATCTTCAAACAAACTCTAACAAACGATAGCGGTCTTACAGATAAGTTTCTACATCTCTTGTGAAAACTGGCAACCGTGTAAAGGCAAGGCCCAGTTCAATGGCCCACACAGCGTAAAAGACTACAGCACGAGCTCAGGTGTCACCCATTTTGCTTGGGCTGCCAGCTTACTAGTGAAACAGAGCAAGAGCTGTTCTTTGCCCAGACAACCAGAGGGATACAGGACAGAATTCATGTGCAAAAAACAGAATTGTTTTTGTTAAGGGTATGTAAGGAAGGAAGACAAATCCATGGGAAAGTCTATTTAATTCCACTGCTCACAAAATCAGTTGCATTTATTTAATAGCCTTATACTCTTAGCAGTGACCTGCAAGAAGGAGGGCTGTAAGGTGGGAACATGCGTTTGTTCTCATTTTTCTCCCTTTAGATACAGGAAAGACTTGTAACTCTCTAGATAAGGCAATTGTCCTTGGGTGGAAGGGAATTTACTTTTAAACAGCTTGCACTTTAATGGAAAAAACATAAGTTTGCTACTGTACCCACAACTTTGTTGGTACCACTCAAAACATACCTCTGTCAAGGAATCTGCAGTCTCTGGATCTGATTTTGCAAAGTATTATCTGAAGGCAGAGCTCTTTGCAAGATCAAGGTCTACACAGTACCTGTAAAATTAATACACTCATGTCACCAATAGCAAGGAGGAGAAGCTTGATAGAGACATGAGCACTTTTAGGTGTTCAGACAGCTTCATTCTGTTCACTTAGTTTTAGAATTAGTTACAGATTTAGGAGTTAACAGAGAGCGTTTGTTAAGATTCATCACTCCTTCTTTGATGAAGAGTAGAAAAAGCTTTCAGCTCCTTTTGTGGAGCAGGGAAGGAAATGACACACAGATCTTGATATTACTAAGATGCAGAGAGGAACAAGGCAAAAATTAAAGAATCTCAAGTCCTCTATTTCTCTGCATCTGTCACAAAGCAACGCGTTTATAGCATTTAGCTGTTTTCCTTGTTTTCTCTTCAATGTACCATTCCCCTTCCCAGTTCTTCTCTCTCCTATACTGAATTTCTTCCTTAAAAGTGTTCATTTTAATTGCTAACGTTTTTAAGGACTCAGGGGAGAAAGGGCAGGAAGTCAGACTTTTGGGATAGGGTAAAAATGTAAAGGTCATTCACACACTCACACACACATACTCTCTCTCACTCTAAAAATAATACACTATTTGACAGTTTCAGGATTCAGCATGTCCCATTGAAATTTGAAAGCTTATGTGAAACTAGGCCATGTCCTGTAACCTCAAACATTTAGTCTAGGAAAACAGCTCTCAAGTCTCCAGCTCCCACATCGGGTATCACATGACGTCTGTGCCAAATAAGAGACCTCAAACGGTTTGGCAAAAGTTGGTAAAATGAGTTGATTAAACCTGGGGAATAGTAGTTCAGACTGTTAGCGAAAGGTATTATTTTTCTGGTTAACTGGATAGTGAAATATTAAATTATGCTCAAAGCATCTATAACAGCATATGAGATGGACAGAATGGTCTCACAACCTACTTATGTTCCGTTTGTTGGCATGGACAAAGGAGAAAGATGACTCATGCCTTTCAACAAAATAATTTTACCCTCCCCTGCTCTAATAAGTATGTTAGCTATTCGAGATCACAAAAGTCACATTAGGCCGCAGTTCACTATTTCTCAAGCTGATGCATCATAACTACACATTAGACATCAACTTTAATAGACCATTTAAGCTATTTAAGTTCCACTCTAAGCTTTCCAGTAGTTCCACTTGTACTCTGCTCTTTCTGAGGAATAAACAATTAATCCTGTGTGGTCTAAAGGACTATTGTTTATTTTCCCTCACCTAAAGGTACTCCTTTCTGCCCTTTAACTGCATTTTCAGTATGGTGCTCAAAGAACATATGGAATGAGTAAAATAATCAATACAATAAAATGTGCCAAACCAATCATAGCTTATGGATGAGAGAAAGTCTCTTAAATTGATACCAACTCAGGCAAGTAAGAGGGAGAAACCAGCCTCACTTCTGCCAAACAAACAATTGTTTACTGTTTTTTTTTTTAATTGAAATATCAGCTTTTACTGCAAATGCAAACCCAAACCATTTTCATAACAATCTCTGCAGTCAGTACTAAAATTGTGCCTTCAACACGGCACTAGTTTTATTTACTGAACAGAGGTGGTCACTAGCAGCCTGACTGTTAGGCTCTATTCCAATTCTATTTTGGAAACATTATGCTGTTAGACAAACATTTAACACTTCTGTTTTTCAGTTTCCTCTCATGCTAAATGGCTACACTACTGATCTTTATCAAATACTCTGTAAACTGCATTAGTATTTCTAGAGTTCAAGATTCTTCTGCAGCATATCTGGTCTTTACACACATGGAATATTTCTCTTCTTCCTCTAAATTATAACGATAGTTAACAGCAATTCTCTGTCCTTGCCCTCTACATTTTTATACTCAGAAATCCATCACAGAGAAACAAGGAAATGTTACCAAGTAAACTCTGGAACACCGTAGTCTCAGAAATGGCCTAACTGCAACTTCAAACAAGATAATGACTTAGACTGAAATCTGTCCATACACTCCATTTGAACTAATGGCTATGTATTTCACCCGCTACCAGCCCTTCTTTTTTAAAAGGAGGGCCATGCGTAGCAGAAGTCTTAGAAGTCTTAGAAGTCTGCTATTTTTTTTTCCTAGAATCAGCAAAAACTTGAACTCTGACCGGACTTACCCACAACACTTGCAGCAGTTCAATGCACTAGAGAAATCAAAGCTGTTTATTTGCTCTTATACAAAAGAGAATTTGCAGTTTAGTATATTAGGCATTTGTATTCTGTGACTGATATAGCCCCAAAAGGATGTAAAGAGCCCAATAGTATACATACTTTTTTAATTACTTAAAGGATAGCTTATATTTATTAGGTTCAAGAGGAATTCTTAGCTAAACAGTCACAGAAGATGATACTCTTACAAACGTGTTGAACTATGCCATATGTGTGCAATTATATTCTAATTGCAATTTAAGCTAGATTATGTAAATATAAATTGATAGAACAAGTTATCAAAAAAAGAAAGCAGCAAATAACAACTTTTTTTCTTTTTTAAATGAATAACAACTAATGGAGGCCCCTAGACAAAAAGAGGATGACTAAAAGTGTTCACCAGGCTTTTGTAAACTCAAATACAACACCCATCGCCTCTAGAAGCCACTCTCATAGCTCATACTATCACCCAGCTGCTTTGGCAGTTCGCCCTGGCAGGCCACAGAGGAGCTGAACGGGCATTATCCCGTGACACACCAGACAGCAACCCAGCATCTTATCGCACTCACCCGCTAACCTTGAACACTACAAGCACAGCCGCTGCTTTACAATCAAGTGCACAAACTACAACAAATTCACTGGAAGAGAATCTCCTTTTTTGGGACAGCAATCCCAACATTTACAAACGGGGATGATAAACACTAGTAAATTGCTGGAATAGCAGCTTCCGAGGTCCTGTCTCAGATTTCACAGTCAGACATGTCCATCTCAGGCATTTGAACCCTAAACAGCAGAGGCAGCAGTTACTGCTAGACCACTATCACTTGAGCAGTAGGGTATACAAGTATAAAAGCTGTAGCCTTGCACAGCTAAGGAAACAAGGGTAAACTCTGCAGCTACCTGTTGAGAAAATGAAGTATTTTTCCCTCCATTTCAGGAGATCATAAAGCCCAGAAAGAGGGCATTTTTGGTCTAGGCACAGCACACGCGAGCTGTATGAAAGCCAAGCTAAAACCACAGCTGCTTAAAGAAATGCTTTGGATATGCAGAAAAACATAACTATTTCTCAGTTAGGTGGAGAACCAGAACTCAGCACAAGACTCCCAGCAGACAAACACCGAGCAAGCCCTCCTCGAGGGGGCGGCCCGCTCTCGCAGCTAGGCCTGGCGCTGGCTTCGGGAAGGCCTCGCTCCCCTCGCCCGCCTGCCCCGTGGCCGGCCACAGGACCCTGCAGAGCCCCAGGCCGGGTAAGCGAAGGGGGAGGG